AGGAATTTCTGCTGACAAACACTTGGCATGCTTCCTTCTGGATCAAAATGATAGGGAATCTAAACTGGCTAAACTTTAAAGAGAAGTTACTGCAGTCAACAGCCATGTAATAGTTTGCTAAGTCTTGGTATTAAACTTATGCTGCTGAATCATGGCAAAGAGCAAATCACTTTATCATCATTCTGGATTTTGATCTGGCAGGATAATCCTAAGAAGAAATGCAACATTTTTCATGGGCAAAAAAATCACCAGCAAGATCCACTTGTAAACAAAATACAGAAGAACCCATTTTAACAAAATGCCCAATTTCCATACCCATCCACCCCCGAAAAAAGAATAAATAATACAACAAAACAAAACAAATTACTCTAAAAAAACTCACAGATTCTTCGTCCTCTGCATCCGCATCTGCATCAGCATCTCCTGGAGGCTCGGCCGGTCTCAGCTGTCGCCCAGAACCTGAAAGCAGCAGGTGGGTTGTTGGTGTCTGTAGGAGCCACACAGAGCACAGAGCAGCCAGCCTGCAAGCTGAAGCCCTCCTGAGAAGCAAGGCTGGGGGACGTGCAGGACTGGCTGGAGAAAGGCCTGCTTTCACTCACATTCCTTATCTCAGACCTCATCAGGCTGATCTTTCCAAAGATACCAGAAATATTCATACCCAGAAATGTAAAGGCTTTTGTGAAGGCAAAAATTCCAAGATTGGAGAAAATGTAGAAAATGTAAAACTAGAAGTTGGCCAGATTTTCCTTTTTTAATTTTTTTTATTTTTTTTTTTTTTAATTTTTTACGACCAAGGCAGGCTTGAGGTATGTATTGGGCAGAATTGGCAGGGATTTGGCAGCTCTGGGGTGGTGTCTGTGGGAAGAGGTCAGGGACCACGCTATGTTGGACACAAATGTTTGCATCCAGCCTTACCTGCAATGCTGAACTGATCAGAGGAGCTTCTGGTACCTCTGTGAAAATGTGTTTAAGAAAGGGTGGTTAACACTGGGGAAAAAGAGACACTTCCACTAGAGGAGGAAGCTAGAGAAGACTGCACTAGAGCAGGAGGAGGGAGAGGCGATGGCGGAGCAGGAGAGATGCTGGAGCTAAATGGGACCTTGAGAAGGAGCTGGAGGAAGAAAAGCCACAAGAGCACAATCAGAGGGGAGGAGGCTTAATTCTGAAGGATGGGTGGCTGGTGGATAAACCCACTCTGGGGCTACTGAGTAGAAAGCAAGGCGTGGAAAAACAAAACCAGCCACAAGCTGCTGACCCCTGTCTTCTGCACCAACCCTCACCTCCCCAAAAGAACTGAGTGTAAGCCACAGCATGGGAACTGGAAACCAGAAAGACCAGAGGAGACGTGTGCAGCAAGGAGATGAGCTGTTTTTCCCTAAGTCCTTTTAATTATTGTTTTTAATTATCAGAATCACTAACTAAAAGTTACACAATTGGCAACAAATTAAATTGACTTAAAATCCTCATTTTGAACTCTTCCTTGCTTCTGATAGAGGTTTTAAGACAAGAGTGAACATCATGAAGCTTTGACAGTCATCGAGATTCTGCTTTCCTGGTTTTTAAAAGTATTCAGGGCAGAGAGAGATGGGGTGATGGAGATGAGCTGTTTGAAAAAGTAATGCTGTTGAAATGCCTTAAATTCGGCACCAAAGAATAAGAACAGTATGAATGCATCAGTGATTTCAGAGGTACAGGCTTAGCTAGTAGAGGACAATGTGGCTGAATTCCACATTCCCTGATACTCAGGCTGTTCTAATATATGCACGAGTCCTTGTCCTGATAACTATGTCTCTTTCTTCTCCATTTTTTCCAAGCCATGAGGCTGTCCAGTTCTGCAACTGCCATTAGTATACATAGTTTTGGCTCTCCTAAACAGACCCTCTGGGTTAAAAAATATGCTTGAAGACTAGAGAAGACAACAGCAAGCAGAACTGTGCAACTCACTCATTGTCTACTTTAAATGAGGAATCCCTGGACTGGAATGCAACATTCCTGGATGTGAATATTACATGCTGTGTTGCTGACAAGCTGGCACGACTTATGTATGCATGCAATCACTCCAACTTCTGCAAGTTGCCAAGCCCTTGTTAAAATGGCTGTGTTTTTGTTAGCCTTTCTTCATAGTTTTCTGATAGTCTACATTTATTTTTTGTTTGATTATTTGAAGTATTTTAGTATAAGCAGGATCTTCAGGCCACATGATCGGTAATGGGCCACTTTGTTAAGATGAATGGTGACAGTGTGCTTCCAGTGGGAATATCCTATGCCAGTTTGTGGGCCAAGTTTCCAAGTTGGGTAGAATAGAGGGCATCCTCATCAGCCATATGTACCTCACCTTAATCAGCTCCCCAGTGGCATTTTAGCTCCAGAGAACTGGAGCCAACTCAGAACACATCAGGGCTGCCAGATCATGCCTCCCTTAGCCTTCAAAGGGCTAGTCCTCATGTCTACAATGGACAATTCTAGAAAATGGTCTTAATGCAGACCCTAACTCAAATTAAAGACATGCATAAATTGATTTGATTTTTTTTCAAATGCTCTAGCATTGGCAATTTTCAGATAAAAAAACCCCCAAACCAAACAAAACCCCAAATCCTAGCACAAAACCTGGTCAAAAAATTACATGTGGATTTATGAACTTGATTTTTGTCATTTCTGCTTGAAAATTCTGGAATCCATTAATGAAGCTCTTTACCACATCTATTTTAATAAATATCATACGTGGAGAAGAGCTGCAGAACTGACGCTTGATTCTGTAGTTTGCTTAGAGCTTCTAAAGATTCAGGTGCCAACAGTGAATTTTATGGCAGTTACTGAAATTACAAGAAATAGTAAGGACTTAGTCTTGTGGCACTGCTGTATATGAATCCCACCCACAAGACCTGCAGTCCAGTAGAATGACATAACAATATTGTTTGGCTTGCTAGAGCCTTTGCTCCTCAGCGCAGCACTTCAAGGCTAATTACAGCATTGATTCCTGGTGGCTGCCAATAATTTTGCTACTGGAAAAGAAAAAGGAAAGAAGTATCTGGAAGTATCCTTGGGCTGGTTCACCATGGCATGTTGTTTGGGTCTAGGGCACCACAGCTATCCTATAGGTTCTAACTGGGGTAAAACGCTAAAACCAGATGCTTTAAACAAAGGATATTTAGAATGACCAGGTGATCAACACCTTCAAAATCTTCCTGTTGCTAAGACTGGGTTACTTGTAAAATCCAAGAGAATTAGATCACTTACTGAAGTGAGACCTGAACACTTATTACCCATCAAGATGTCATTTTAAAACAACAGACGACACTATCAATTCTTTTTCAGTGTGGATGTAGAGATAGACCTGGCTTAGATGACATCGCACCTGGGGCTGGGCCAGGAGAGAAGTTTCTTGTTTTCTGCCAGTTGTTGATCAAGCAAAGCAGTGCTGTATGATGCACAAGGGTGGCTTCACATGCTTCACCATTGTATTCACATGCTTGCCAAGTATTGGCAGGTCATTACTCTGCTTGTTCTTGCTAGAGGGGCTACAGTTCAAGGTTTGCCAAAATGTTGCCAGAAAATTCCCCTGCTGTTAAGAGGAAAACCTGTCAGGACAAAAGGTACCTTTCACCTACCTCCTGACGGGTAGGAAGAGAAAGAGTCCTCCTGTTAAAGCATTTAGTAAACTACTACCTCTCCTAAGTGGTGATAGTAGGACACCTTCCGACAAAATGGAGCAACAGACTATTGTGCCCAGGGCTGAGAGGGATGCAGCTGAGATTGCATGGAGGGACACCAGCTACAAAAATGACCAAAGCTTTGCAAAGAGGCATTTCCATGCACCCCTATTCCCCCAAACTCTGCCTACCTGTATACTAATTCTCCCCTCTACCATAGCTAACCCACGTAATAAAAAAACTACTTGTGCCTCTGATTCCTATTGCAGACTAAGATTTCCTTCATTTTTTTCCCCAGTACTTCAAAAACAAATCTGTAAAGGAAGAGAACTGCAGTACAATGATCAATTCCATTTTCAGTACAGCCTTTTTTTCTGCATATAGAAGACTGTGCCAATAAACTGTGATTTATATGCATGTCATGCTAATGCCCCAATAGTAGTGATGCCAACATTTTATAGGTTTTAACTTTAAAAAAAAACAACTCTGGACAATCAATGCTTTGTTCAAAATATTTTCATAAACAAGATGGAATTTACATCAGTGACTACTTCTAATAGCCACTGAACTGACTTCAGAACAAGGGAATTTTTTGAAAGTAGTCAGTAGGAGTTACACAGGCTGGAACATTTTCTAGCATATGACCGAAAATTGTCTTTGCTTTTCAAATGCAATTTTTAAAAGATTATTTTTTCTTTAATCTAGCAACCCAGATGGACTGTTTTGGGTAAACCCACAAAAATAGGTTAGTTTTTTGGTATTCACATTCAGTGGGTAACAGTCTCCAGGCCCACTTTTGAGATATTATAATCAATTAGAAGTATGACAGTGTCATCAAACTAAAATAAATTGCGCTTTAATACATTGTATGAACTGAAAAGAAACAGCTTTAACTGGGACACTGGTATATAAATCTACTATAATCTGTATCCTTTAGAATCAAATTAAGAATAAAAGAGCAAATAATATCAGAAATGTTAAAAAAAATAACTGTATATTCCTTTGCTGACCATCCTAGCTTTATTGCTTAGAAATTATATCTTTTTCTCTGCAATTTTTAGATTTGGACTTTTTGCCTTTGAAGATTTTATGCTAAATTATGAGCGAATATGAATATTGTGATTTCAGGTAATCTGCTCTTATTTTAAAGCATATAAGTTTTCCTTGCATCAACTTATTAGGCATCATCTTTCCTTCTAAAAGTGGCTTGTTTTGGTTTACTTTCTTTATTTTTATTTATATTTTTGTCTGAGATATCTAAAATACTGCTGTTGTTTTCCCAGAGATTTTAGTGTAGATCAGTTAAAACTGACAACAGTAGCAATGGTTGTAATGCACATATTTTTTACAAACATGCAGGTTAAATATTCTTGATTCTCAGGTAATACCCTCACAAGAAGTGGCTCCTTTTTGCCATATACTGACTACCATGAAATATCTAACTTTACCTCAAAAGCTAGTTCCTCTTAACAGACAGAAACCTGAGCTATGGCAACACATGTCCAGAGATGAAAGCTTGTATGCTTTACTCACTCATTTATTACTGTTTGTTAATATATGAAAATCACAACCTGTGCCTTCACTTTACTGGGATTTTGGGTGTTTTCTAGCTTTTCTTAGCTATGATAGTTAACAGCCCTGATTGGGCAGTGTTGTGGAAATGAATAGCTTTAAGTCCATAGCCAGTTGCAAGATTCATGCCCAGACATGTGGGCGAGGGTAGGACATCCTTAGGTCAGGTCTCTTCTGACAATGCAAAGCACACCCTGAGCACAACACCCAATTTGTATTATTAATAAGGAGGAGGAG